TTGAAATGACAATGTCAAAAATTACTTGGATCAGTTTTTTTGTAAGCAACGATCAAAACTTTTATGAATGTGAAATCATACTACACCAGAAACGATGACAACAGGTATTTGACCAAAATGGTCGATATATAATTCAATAAAATATTTATTTATTATAAAAATATTGCGTTTTTTTCCACGGAAAAAAGAACGAAATTACTTTCTGAACAACCCAATAATTATAATTATTAGTGTGTAGTGGAAAGAGAAATAACTATTATAGTATAATTGCTAGTTTACTTGTTTCACACACACACACACACAAATATATATATATATATACAGTGCTTTTTTTGTATATATATATATATATATGTGTGTGTGTGTTAGGCTCAAAGACCGAAATTGCTCTTTGAGTGAAAAAAAAACGACCACAATGCATTGTGGTGATTAAGAAAAGCCATAACACGTTCTGAACGTTAGCTGGTGCAACCATGATACGAAGGATAGGTTGTAACTTGTCAACGGGCAGATTGCAAACACTTGTGTAGTTTATATTGTGTTCATTCTTGACCAGTGCTGCTGTTTCTAGGGTAATTACTCTTTTCTTAGAGTAATTTCAGCCTCTCAGAGTAATGTTTCAGGTAGTCTGAAACATTACTCTGAGAGGCTGAAATTACAATAGCATCAGAACACAGGATAGTTTTACCCTAGATTTACCCTAAATCTAGGGTAAAACTACCCTGTGTTCTGATGCTATTGCTCATCGCTCCACAAGTTTCGCTGAAAAAAGTTTTAGCCTAAAACCATTCTTTTTTTTCCCTATAACTGGAGGGTTTTAGGATAGGACAACAGAAGCTAAAGAAATAATGCAGATTGAGCCATCGAGCCATTGGCACTCTCCACATCAGATGTAAATTAATACCTCTGATAAAGCCTAAAAATCCTAAGACACTTTATTCGTTGTTTTTGAAAATTTTAATAACTAAAGAATTGTTCTGATTATTATTTCACAATAATAGTATAGCCCTGACCTGAATCCGATGGAAAATTTTTGGGGTATGGTGGTTTGTACAGTTTATACCAATGGAAAACAGTTTTCCACAATTCATGATTTGAAGGTAGCAATTTCAGATGCTTGGGATAAACTTAAGATTGAATTCTTTCAGAATCTAATTTAAACAATTCCTAATCGAGTATTTAATGTAATCAAGTTAAATAGTGGTTACATTGGCCATTAAATTGTAAGAAAATTTTGCAATTTGAAGCCTGTCTCGATAAATATGTAACAGTTTTTTGTACAAAATTTTCAAAAATATTATTTTCACTGACAAAATGTTAATGTTTGATTAAAATTCTTATTTTATAGTGTGGAAACATATAAATCCATGTTATTTTTAATAAAACATTTGTCACTTAATGCAGCAAATTTGGGTTTCACTTTAATTTTTTCGTGTCCATATAAATTTGAAACGCACTTTAGTTAATTGGAGACTCTGACTCCTAAGCATATCTGATCTCGTTTTCATGTATTAAACTTCATCCCTGAAATTAATGAAAGATGCAGGGATGACAGTGGGAATGTGGGAATCTGAAAATTGCAGCCCAATAATATAAAAAACGATAGGAATTATATAATTAATTCATATATATTTGATGACCTTAAAATACACACAAACACATTTGTTTTTTTTGGAGATCAAAATATTTCTCTTAAACATAGTACTTTTGTGCCTTCAGGCTCATCTTAAGATCTCAAAATATTAGTTTTTTTTTTCAAGAAAGCAGAGAAGTTTTTTATCAACAATTATATAATTAATACAATTTTGCTAGCAATTTAAAATAGTTAAAAAAACAAAAAGTTAGTCAATTTTATTCATTTACATAAATAAATCAACAATCTTGTGACTTGTATTAAATTTCATGTTAAATTAAAGAATTTGTCATGAAATCCAGATAATAGCATATATTTTTTACAACAAAATTGAATATGATTGTAATCATAAAAAAAATAGTTTCTTGAAGCTATAATCTGAACAATTCTATTATCATATACTTTTTGTTGCTCTAAACTAAGGGTCCCAAAACTATATTTTGACTGTCAACCCCTTCAAGGATTCCTTGCCCTTCTACCAATTATTAACTGAGTTAATAATAATAAATCAATCTGGTAGGCTTGAGCCAGTATTAATCCACATATCATTTTCATAGAAAAGATATATTAATACTTGCAGAATTGCAATTTTACAACATCCTGATCTGTATTATACCCCATTGGACTAATAATTCTTAAAGAACTGTTCTTGCTCAACACAACTCATTTTCTCACCAGGTGCATTATTAATCACATTGGGAACTCCTAGTTTTGTAATTTGTATGTTCTGAACAAATTTTTAAAGTAATTTTGATTATTTTCATAATGAATATAAAAACATTGTGTTTCTATTAGAAATTTTATATTGAAAAAATTATATAAAAAATACATTTTATAAAAACAAATTGCTTTAATGTAACTTTGATTTTTGTATTATAAATCATTCAATTAAATCTAATGTCAGATTTTCATTTTGAATTTAGATACAGAGATTGGACTGTAAGAGAAGCATACTTAGAACTTCATAGAAGAGAAAAACTAGGACTGCCACTCATTGATAAAAATTTGATAGATCCAAGTAAAATAGAACTGCCTCCCGACGAAGACTTAGTTGACACAGAAATTATCATTTAAAGAAACTAATAACCAGCTTATGTATTATGTTTTAAATTGTATAATATTGTTAATCAATTTATTTATAATTAGAATAAATGTAGCTTAGTTTTTGGAGAGAAATAAAAATAAAATTTGTTTATACAAGTGTAATACTTAAATGTACTTCAGAAATCAATACATATTATATATAGGCTGTTTTTTTTTTTTCAAGCTTTGATAGTTCATAAAAAAAAGATAAATGTAAATAACAAAATGAATTTATTACCAAAGTTAGACACAAACATAGTTACTTTTCAACATAATCACCATGAAGATTGAGGCATTTGTCATGTCTGGATGAGCTTTTCTATCTCCTTGTCATAGAATGTTGCTGCCAATGACTTGATATGTTGTTTAGATCATCATTAGTCTCGATCCTCTGCCCCTCCTAGCCACTTTTTCTGTTCAGGAAAGAGATGGAAGTCACTCAGCAATAAATCGGGGCTATACACTGTGTTTAAATGTGGTGAAAACTTCTAACTTTCAGACTTCCATCCAGCTTGGAACTTTTTCGTATGTGAAGACTTCCACTTCTTTCCTGAACTGAAAATGTGGCTAGCAAGGCAGTGGTTTGAGACTAATGATAATCTTCAAAACAATGTTGTTAAGGCCATCTCAATTCACTGGTGGCAACATTCTATGACAAGGGGATTGAAAAGCTCGTCCACAGACCTGACAAATGCCTCAATCTTCACGGTGATTATGTCGAAAAGTAACCATGTTTGTATCTAACTTTTGGTAATAAATTCATTTTGTTATTTACACTCATCTTTTTTTTTTTTATGGATTATCAGAGCTTGAAAACAAAACTGCCCTCATATATGAAAAACCCTAATTTTGCAAAAGGTTTTATAAAAGCCAGAATCTCATAAAAACAAAATATATGTACAGTGGTACCTCAGGATACGAAATTAATCTGTTCCGAAACTGAGATCGTATCATGAAAATGTCGTAAGGTGGATCATCTTTTCCCATACGATTACATGTAAAACCAAATAATTCGTTCCAACGCGAAAAACACACTCAAATTAAAGCCAAGTGATACATTAAAAAAAATAACTGTAGTAAGAAAAACAAATGAAAAATGCAAACTAATGTAACGTCGTATGGTGAGTTTTTGTTCGTATCGTGGAGCAAAAATATATTCGAATTTCATGTCGTATCCTGAAAATTTCGTATGCTGGGGCGTTCGTAACCTGAGGTACCACTGTATATATTTTTACAATTAATAACTATGTAATATAAACATTAATATATATGAGTACATTATAAGTAGATTCTATGTACAAAAGCTAGTAACAAAATGGAATTGAATTGTATAATTTTAAATTATTTTTATGCCCAAAAATTGATTATTATAAATTCAACATAAGATTATTATAAATATTCACATAAACAGAGAAAATGTAATTTATTAAACTTTCACTGCAATGGCTTAGAAGAATTTTGCTGTATGTTCTTTGTCATCTTTTTCATTAATGATATATGACGGGTGCATGTAAGGAGAAGTCATCTGGTACGTGCATATAAGCATATGATTTCCATTGATCATCTGTCTTTTTCAATCAGCTTTTTTACATTTATTGTAATTAAAGCATATTCATTTATTTTCTTTAAATATCATTATTTGAAATATAAAACTTTGGCACACACATCTTTAAAGCTAAGTATACTCACTATATGGCACGTGTGCTCAAAAAGGTTTGCCATTCCTGTTATACGAGATCATACTGAAAATATCTTAAATTGTCATTTTTGTCAACATAAGAAACCTTAGTTCATCAATATTCAGAGAAAAATGCAAAATAATGAGATTTTCTTTCTGTAAATCTGCAAGAATGATAGAAAATAGGATTATATTAACAAGTAAATTTGCTTTGATGGCCAAGGCATTGACTTATTGCAATGGAGACCCTGACATCAAATCCAGGTGGTTGAAAAACTCAAATTTTTCAGGGCTGGTCTGCCTTGGTTACGTTGAGCCCTATGTCACCTGGCCAAACATGATGGATATGATTAAAATGGCCCTCTTAGTGCCTATGGCAGAAACAGTGAAAGCGAATTTGCTTGTTTTTTTTAATCATATTCAAGTTTAAGAATCCTGGTAAAGATTTTTCATTTGTTAAAAAAATATTATGAAATTTTTATAAATTTCATAAATTTTGACTTTAGAATTTTGCTTTAATTCTAAAATGTAGCTGCATAATTACTACTATTACAAGTAATTAAGCAGCTACATCCTAGTAATACAAAATATTACTATAAAAATTTATAGTAATATTTTGAAGATTTATAGAAATGATGTCAAAGATAAATGTAATGTTTTTTGATGTATTATAAAAGATTACTTTTGGTCTTTAGATAAAATTTCAAATACTTTTTTTATTTGAAGTAAAGTTGATCTTATAATGTATATTTAGAGTAAAGAAATATACAAGTTATTTCACAAATCTTGGCTAGGAGTTGCATAATATCTGAATGTGGTTCTGAAATACTTCAGAACCACATTCAAGTTGTCAGTGAGTATACACTGACAACTTGAGGAGTGTTTCAGATCCTGTTAAATTTCTATGACCTGTACTAACATAGGATCATTCTTAATACCAATGCATATTACAATGGCCCAGCCAAGATTATGAAATGTACTAAATTGTTTTTGTTGCTATGTATTAACAAAGTTTAATAGAATTCTTAATTTCCTTCTAGAGGAAAAAAACTCCATGGGATTTTGGGTAAATTTACAAACTAAATTACTTCTGCAGTTTATGAGCAAACTGAAAACAGTTTTTAATTTCACTTTGCATAACTTCAAAGTCAAGCCTGTATTAAAATTGGTCTAGTTTTCAAGACATTTTGACTAAATCTGTTTGGAATTGTTCTTTTCAGTTTTTATATGACAAACATTTAGTATTTCAAGAATCATCCAAATGGGAGAATATAAATGTGTCAATGTAATAGACATTAGGGTTACCTAGAAAATCCTATCTGTGCATGGTTGAGCATTATCTTGTTGGAAAATGGTTGCTTTGCAGTCCTGCCACGAAAGGCAACCCACAAGGGTTCAGGATTTCCCAAATATACTACAGTGCTTTCACAGTTCCTCACACCTATTAGAGGTGACTAATTGTCATACAAGATGGTTCCCAGATAAGCATGCCAGCAGTAGAAGTGTGTTACTTAATAGTAAAAGTAGGATTGAAGTGCTTCATCGGTGCTTGTTGGCCATGCATGCAAATTTGCCTCTGTTAATAGTCCACCAATGACACAGGAAGACGAGCAGCTTCTGTAATGAGGCTTCTGCCTCTCTCTGGATGATGCACAAAGACACACTACTGCAGCTGTTTGTGCCTGCCCTCACAATCAGATAGTGCTGTCTGGGGTGTTCTGAGCCTGCCCACCATATATGTGCACCTTGATGTATCCATTGCCCTAACCTTCTTCTTGCAGATGAGTAATAACAGACCCAAATGGACAAGTTATTAGAAACTAAGATAAACAGATGCTCAAAATTTCAATGAAGAATGTAGTTTTAATACTCATGTCTATTAATTTTAATAATAAAGAGTAAAGGAATGAACTTTATTGATCTCAAAATCAAATTTTAGTTTCAAAATTATTAAAAATATTTGCCATATGTAAATCAGGGCCAGCCCAAGAGTTTTTGGTGCGTTAGGCAAATTTTTGGCACTACAACCAGCATCAGTTAAAAGTCACTTAGGTTGCCTATTAACTGATGCTGGCTGTGATGCTCCTAAATTTTTGCACCCTAGATTTATGCATAGAGTGCCTGTAGCTTGGACTGGCTCTGAGTAAACTATTACTTCATAAATGATTTTTTCATTTTAAGGACCTCCAATTGCTCCAACACCTGTTATTGGATCAGTAACGTTATCTACAATAACAATATCATGGAGTAATTCAATACATACATCAGTTACAGGTAAATATAAATGTATTTAAATTTAATAGTATAAATTAAATTTTATATTAAAAGTTTTATTCCAATAATTATTTTCAATAGTATTTGTTATCTCTTAATAGGTTATGAAATTTATTATAAAGGAAAATCAAATGATTGGAAACATATTAGATTGCCATCTTTAAATACTACATATACTATTCATGATTTAATATGTGGAAGCAATTATCAAATATATATAATAAGTGTAAATGAAGAAGGAAAAAGTGATCCTAGTAATATTGTTTCTGCAAGAACAAAAGGAGGAGGTACTATACATATTATTTTGTTTAGATAACACATGTATATTTATTACTAATTTTAATAGATACAATATTTAGTTAGATATTGTGGTCATATGCACGTGGTGAGGTTTAATTTTTACAAAGATGCATATATAAAAAAAANATTATGGCAATTTTAGAGTTAACCTGTAATTTTTTTATTTATAAAACAAATCTTGCATTTAAAAATTATAATACAATTAGAGAAAACTTTTGATTTTTGAAAACATTTGAAATTCAACAAAACTTGGCACCACATTTAGACAAGAGAAAACAAACTGCTTAAGACCGAGCTGTAGTAAAAGAGATTTTGATTTATAGTTATATTTAGTTACTTGCATTATTTTCCAATTTATTTGTTATTTTGAGTTATGTTAAATCATGAATGCTATCTCAATACTTTCCAGCTACAGCTTCATTTGCATCCGACTAATTAAATATTTTAGTCATAAATAAACACTATTTTCTATTTATATTTTTCAGTAAATAAATGTTAATAAAGACACAAACTATTATTTTTTGTAAGCAGGTGTAGTATGCAAGTCAACAATGTATAAAAGAACATTATCAAACAAGTTAGCCTTCACTTCTGCTGGTCAGTATGTAGCTGTTGAATTGTAAGTCATTACTGCTGATTAAGGGTAAGTCATCACTGCTGATTAAATTGTAAGTCATCACTGCTCTTTTTCCTAATCAGGTTGTTTTGAGATTTTGGAATAATTGTAATTTTCACTAGTAATTAATTTTATTGTTGTAATTACTGAATCAAATTTGTAATATTTGAGTTCTATATTAATTGTTGGTATAATATATTTTGTTTGCAATTAGGAAAAAAGTTTCTAAACTTTTATGGTAAAAGGTTTAACATTTTGGAGCTTGCAAGATAACCAAAATTGGATTTTATTAAAAGTTTTTTTTTTTTTTACTTAGATTTAGCCATCTATGGCAGACATTTGTGTCAAAAATTGGCTAATATGGACTGAACTGTATATCAAACATCATTTCCAACAAAATCCAATTTATGTTTACCATAAGTAAACAAAAATGATATTTTGTTGAAATAATGAAAAAATTGGATAAATAAGCAGTTTATTTCCTTTTATTTAAAAATGCTTTGAGATTTTAAATATAGTTTTTAATAAAAGCAGATTTTTAAATATAAAAAATTTTATTATAAACTTCCCTTCAAATTCTGTTATAAAATATTTAATGTTATTTGATCTTACTTTATTCTGTTGAAAACTATCAAAGTATCTGTTCATTTTCACAGGAAAATAATATCTTTTCTATTTCCACATTAACTAAATATCAAAAATATATCTAAAATAAAATTAATAATAACCTAACACAACTTAGTTTTCAACATTACATTATTTTATATAATTATGAACTATTGTACAGTTCATAATTCATAATACGGACTATAAAAAATTTTTAATTACTACAGAGAGAGAGAGAATTTATTTTGGTACACTTCTGTGAATATGGGAAAACAGAATATTACGAAATTTGCTTTAATCAAGAAGAAAAAGTATCACATGTGTTAATGTTTAAAATTTAATTTCAAATTAAACCAAACATAAACCTATAATTATAACAAATGAAAAAATAATAAGTTTATTTGTAAAACTTTCTTGCTAACATTTCGTACAACTTACCATAAGTTAAAAACTGTTACACGATAAATACGTCGCGCACTCACCACGATAATTTACGAAGTAAACGCTATACAAAATATCATCATTTACGATAGAATAATCTCGTCATCGCCGTGATAGAAAGGTTCCGCATGATCCTTCCAGTTCTGTTTCGGAAAATTCCGTAAAACGCGGAGATCAAACACGTGAATGGACATATTGTTAAATATGTCTTGAAACCTGAAAGTATTGGGCACATTGTATTCAGTAACCGCAGACTTCACCCGGCACAGGTAAGAAAACTTATTCAATGTCTTTTCGGGCAACGAAAACACAAAATTGTTAAAACTATTCCCTATCAGGATGACGTCGTTCAACCCGTCGGGACTCCAGTTGGCCCACAGAATACTGTTATACAGAGGTCTCCCGCAGTGTGGCATAAAGAACAGGGTCCTCCCGTCAATCTTACGTTTTCCCTCTTCGTTCTTCCGTATCGCCCTACAGTGAAAACGCGTCAAAATTTTCCAGTCCAATTTGCTAAAGATGGGATCATACAGAAGGGGATTCGAAGACCCAGTAAATTCTTTCATCAGCAACAGCAGAGCCAACTGGTACCGGGCGGCCAAGGAAGTCGAAACACTCCCCAGACCGTAACACACGATGTTCTGCACATTCCTCTTGCCATCTTCGGATTTACCAGAATTGGTAACGACGCACTTCTTGAATATTTCGTAGAAATTGAGATAAAAGTCACTCGAACGTATTTCGGCTTTGCACTCTTCCACCTTTTTAAGAACCGTTTCAAAATCTGTTTCTGCTTCTAAAGGATCAAAATGAATGGTCTCATACCCAACTGCATTATTTATCTTTTTGGGTTTAGACCTTTTCCTTCTTCTGTTTGATTTGTATTCTACCTTAATGAATCCATCACTTTCCATATCTGTTCGAGTCCAGTCAATTTTCTACAGCAAACTGAAAAGAATAATTTACTAATTTTTTTTTTTTTTTTAACTTTGTAGACTGAATTATGAAGATATAAAATAAAATTTAAAATATTCTAAAATATATTTTAATTCTTTATAAAACATTATTCGATAAAATACCACTAAAATAATTTTTCAACAATCTCAAAATAGAATATTAACTTACTTTACTTTAAAAAGAAAAACAACAAAATTAAGTCATTCCATTACTAATTCGTCTGGCTTGTTTCGTTCATTGCGCCCCCTAATGATTAAAAAAATAATGGCTTAATTCAATTATTAATTTTAAAATATTTTATTTCTATTTAATAACTTTGTATTGGGTAATGATAATCTTTTAAAAATGCGAAAGAAATTTTAATTATTAGAATATAATATAGAAACATATTAAAAGGAAACCTGTATTTATCTTTTGTCTATAATTCGAATCTGACCGGACCCGTAAATCGATTTATAAATTCACATGTAAATAAATAAAATTTAAGAATTTAGTGAACAATTCAAATATTATAGTATTATTTTCCAAACTGCTCCAGCGGTAAATCTAACAAATAAACTTAACAACACATTTTTTGGGGGCCCGGGTTTCAAGTTCTATCCGGGACCGAAAATGTTAATTCGTCACACCAAACGCGCCCCAAGCTTATCATGGGAACGTCGGCCAATGTTAGTTAGTGTTAGTGGTTAGACATTATCCTATCGGCATTGGGACGGGGATCGAATCCGGACGGGTAGAAAAATCCTAGGAATTTTTCGGGGTAATCTGTTTCGGGTAGGGTTTCTCATTTCCCGGTCTTTTGCTTAACCTGGGATTCTGGGGGGAAAGTGAACTGTTTTCCGGGATTCCAGGATACAATTAATTATTTTTAAGATTAATTATTTTTTTTAGATTTATTTTATATCATTAATTTTATTTTTTATGTAACTGAATAAGTCATGCAATCTCCAAAATAATAATAATGCTGTGTAAAATATGTATAAAAATTACTGTACTTTTGAATTACGTAGAAATTTTCACAAAATTTATTAATCTCGCGGTACGTTACCGTCCGTGGAATGCGACGATAGGATTCTACACCAGTGTTGTCCAACCGAAATTGTTTAATGGGCCAAAATCAAAAATAAAAATACACTGTGGTCCGCACATATTTATTTACAACAAAACATATACAATTATATAGTATTTTGTATGTATTTTAATGTAAAACTTGATTTTAATTTTTCCACTTAATCTTTTAATGTCAAGAGGTATTTTTGATGTTGTACAACATCGTTGGTTTTTTAGATTTTTATCGGTCAATCTATTACGACTTTTACATTTAACAATTTTCAGTTTTGAGAAAAAAGATTCACAAAGATAGGTGATTCCATTGCAGCTGTAATGTTCATCGCGTTTTGGGTTAGGGAATGTATCATTACAGACGTATTTTGTATAAAACTAAACTTTGTTATTGGCCTCAAACATATATTTCAATTCAGAAGATGAATGGAGGTTTATCAAATGTATCTGTAAATTTGTTGGAGCGTGTTCTACAACAATGTTAAATGGACACAAGAAAATATTAAATATATTCTCATAAATTTTTAATTAAATATGAAAATCTTCCTTGAAATTCTTTTAGTAAATTAGTAATTTCTTGTGCATATTTAGAAAAATGTTTTTTGTCGCTATTAAATTTATGTAATTTTGAACGACGAATTGTAGTTTTTTGATTTTATCTGACATTCATAGTTTGAGTTTTGCTATGAATGCTTATATATTTTGATAACAGTCTGTGAACAATTTGTTTTCACCTTGAAGCTACTTATTAAGTTCGTTTACGCCATTCATTGTCTACAACTTGTAAATCAACCTTAACATTCTTCAACGTTTTAAACAATGGCTCCAAAAACCTCACTGTTAAATTTTGCGAATTTTCAGGTTCAAGCATTGAACCTGAAAATGAAAAAATGTCATTACTGAAATCAAATGTGGCATAGATTTCTTTTACAAGTGTACAGTAAAAATGTTTACAACAAAAGCATCAGATCACAGGGCAGTTTTACCCTAAATTTACCCTAAATATAGAACTACCCTAAACAGTACCCTGAGAGGTTGAAATTACCCCAGAAACGGCAGCACTGTACAGAGCATAACCGTTACATGAAGCGCCCTTTGGTGGCTGTCTATAATCAATAACTTGCACAGTAAAACATAATTAAACCAGTTAACAATCTAAATTTGAAATTTTAAATCTAATAATTCTAATTGAAATTTTATTAGGCTTATTTTCCAAAGAGTTTAAAGAAAACAATAATGTTTCTTATCGTTTATTGGAAACAAAGAAGACCGTTGTAACTTCAGAATGTGTTTATTGTTTGACATTTATTACACATATAGGGTACATTTAAGAAAAAATAATTTTATTATATCAAAACACCAATTTAAAAATATTTGTTGTAAACATACTGATTAAATATACGAGGGCAGGCTGAAAAGTAATGCACACATGCTTGTAGAACACGAACAAAGACAAATAGCAAGATCGGGCAAAAAGTATATTAAAGTACAATTCATAAGCTTCAAAATCATATATTTATTTTTCAACATAGCCTTAATGATGACTAACACATTTCTCCCAACATGTAACAAGTTTTTTCATTCTGTCACTGAAAAATTCTTCCGACTTTTCTCGAATCCAGGACTTGACAGCTGTCACCACCTCATCGTCTGAGATGTAATGATTAACCTTGAGGTCTCTCTTAAGTAGAGGAAACAAATAAAAAATCACAAGGCGCAAGATCAGGGGAATAAGGAGGGTGTGGAATCGGTTCAAACTTTAGGTTTCGCAGAGCCTCCCCAGTTGCGCGCGAGATGCGTGGACGAGCGTTGTCATGTTGCAAGATTATTGGTGCCAAGCTGCTTCTAACATGTCAAACTCAACGTCAGAGGTGTTTTGGAGTCTGTATGTACTGAGAAGAATTAAACATTGCAACAAGGTGTAACAGTAATTGTTTGTGGCAATGATCGGACTTCCGCTGCGTGTTTCATCAACAATTATGGCTTTTCCAGGCTCGCAACCACGACATTTTATTATCCATCAATTTACAATAGACCTATCAACAGCATCGTCATCATAAACAGTCTTTAAACGTAATTTTTTCAGCAGTTAAAAATTTGATAACAGCACGCTGTTTAACTCACGTTGACATAGCACCAGAATATGTCTCCATATTTCCGCTTCTCAAAATATACTGAATGAACGCAACAACCTCAAACTGCGCATGCACATAGAGAGGGGGAATGTTACTTCCATATGCCACCTGGCACGCTTCTGAAAATCATTTCGTTTGTGCTCTACAAGCATGTATGCATTACTTTTCAGCTTTCCCTCGTATATATATATATATACTAGTGTTGTAACGAATAGTATATTCGGCCTCAGGCCGAATACCGAATATTCGGCCAAGAGCGTGGCCGAATAGCCGAATATTCGGCCAAACTATTCGGCTCGATTAACGCACGTACGAAAATTGGCGCGCAAACCGCATTATGGCAAGGATCCTGCTCTCTATTGGCCCGCTGTCACTACGCTTCGCCAATCGCGTTAATTCTTGGCAGTTGTAGCGGACAGACAAGAGTGTCATGGAAGTATGCGATAAATGATGATATCAAATGTGGATAACGATGAAATGACCTACACGTGTAAATAACGGAAAAAAAAAACAGAGAAGGACCGCGAAGTGAAAATGTGAAAATAAATATGAAATTGAGTTGATAACATAATCGAACAAGTCGAGGCAGCTTATTGGCACGAAATTCGCGCCCGTCAATGCCAAACAATTGTTGTCATAGACTTCGGAAAGCTAAATGCTTGTAATGAAAGTCACTTAGCGTGACTTTCAGTACAAGCATGGAAAGCCTGGGGCCGTTCGGGCTATCAAACTGTCTACCACTGGCCCTGCCACCTCAGTGCCTTCATCGAAGACAAGGACATGTTTATGGCTTTCGTTAACTATGTTAACAAACTCCACCTCACGGACTACAACTTTCCAGCACCTAACACAGTCTTCTCTCCAGCTCCCTCACCCTCGAGCTCCTATGACTCTCTGACTCTTACCTGATTGTATCCGTCCACCTACTCCATTGCACCCAACTATTAAGGTGTCTCCCTGTTCATACTCCATCTGGCACCTTGTGTTATTCCTCTCTAGCTATTGGTCATGCTTATCAAAGGCACCATCTTTACTCTCTGTATCCTTCACGCGGTATTTTAACCCTACACGCTATTCGTAATTTGTCCCCTCCGTACGGACGGTTCGCGGCAAGTGCCTTATTCTCTTCTTATCCCCTTCGCTCTTTTCCTTCCCATTCCCACCCACTCCCCACCCTTCACCCCACCCTATCTCCCTCCCTCTCCCTTTCCTTCTGGCTATACCATCGAGTTAAGGCCTTTTCTTTACAAACTATAAACTACAAGGTCTGTTCAAAAAGTATCGGACCTTTGGTCGGCAAAAATAAATTTATTGACTTTGAGGAACAAAACCCTAATCCCCTTCAAAGTAGTCTCCTTGGTAATGTATACACTTCTCCCAGCGTTTCTGCCATTGCTGGAAACACTGCTGGAACGCATCTTTTGGAATGGTTATCAGCCGGTCCGTCGCATTTCGCACGATGTCTTCTCTCGACTAAATTTGGGTTCCTTTTAGCGGCATTTTCAGCTTGAGAAATAGCCAAAGGTCACACGGAGCCATG